CCCTTGTTTTGGTTGTTGGTGGTTGCCTTGTGCTCTGGTGTGATTTGCTCCCTCTGACCTATCAAACATCTATCGTCATTTGCTCCCCTCCTTCTTTTTCCTGCTTGTTAGTCTTTTGTAACACCTCTAGTCTTCCACTAATACATGTATGATCAAATTGTGTTGCAAGTACCGTAAAAATACCAAAAACGTTATTTTGGCTGTCATTTTCTTTTCACATCCGCAGAATCCTGGTCCTGGAAAGAGGAACCGTCCTTGAGTTTGACAGTCCTGATAGACTGCTGGGAGACTCTAGCTCCGCCTTCTTTTCTTTGGCTAAGGAAGCCGGAATAAGCAAAACTAGCAAGGAATGAATAGGCCACAGTACATACGTGTATATATCCCCAGGCTCAGTGACATTGCCTTAAAAAATTTTAATAGATTTTTAAAAATTAAGTCAAAATGCTAAAAAAAAATTGTAATCCGCTTGACTTAGCTTGGCTTAGTGCAAAACTTCCGGGTTCATCCACAGTTTGGGTGAGCTTGCGGCTTTGTCTTATGCTTTGTTGTAAGAGTTTTACGGCACTTGCAATACAATTAAGTAATGTATACCTAAGTGCGGAAGATAGGTGTTACGAGAAAGTAACAAGCGAAAAAAGGGAGAAGAGATAAAGATGATAGATGTTTGACAGGAAAGAAAGAGCAAATCACACCAGAACACCCGCCAACCACCCACAGCTTTGTCTTACGGGAATTGAAAACTGCAGCGGGCTGTGATGATATCGTCGTAAAACTAGAAGAGAGAGAGAGAGAGAGAGAGAGAGAGAGAGAGAGAGAGAGAGAGAGAGAAAGACAGAGAGAGAGAGAGAGAGTATGCTTTACTTTCACTGAAAAACCTCCAATGAAATGAGCAATTATTAGTCAGTGATACTGCTGTTACCGTAGGTCATCGTTTCTTTATCGTCCACCCTTCGTATGTAGGCCAAATATTATCATCGTCACCATCATCATCCTTGTACTTGTTTGAATATATATATATTTACGATGTATCACATTCCTGACTTTATTGAAATTAAATGAGGATATTTTCTATTTATGTCCTATTTTGTGCCTCTTTTTTAAAAAAAACGCAAACGTTTCACACCTCCATAGACACAATATCAATTATAATTTTTAATCGGCGGGTTTCAACTCTGTCAGGGTCAACCTGAGCTGAGAGGAAGACACCTCATAATACATTAAAATTTGCTGTACATAATTCATACATCGCCCAACAAGAACGATGTAGATGCTAGAAAAAATTCTCCTTACATTAAATGGGAATCGATCTCAGGTCTTCTGCATGCAGTGGAAATAACAAATAACTAGAAAAATACCTTTCAGCTATACCACAGATTTTTATTGTTGTTGAGCAGACAACATACTTTTAATAATAATAATAATAATAATAAATTACACTTTTATTTGTCCCAGAACGGCACTTTGTTTTACAATGGCAAACATACATACATAAATACATAATTATAAATACGTACATACATAAATACATACATGCATAAATGCATACATAAATACACACTATTACACAAATACAGAACAGTTTACAAACAATGCCACTGTCGGTCGCCACTGTGCAGCGCCCTGTAATTTGAGCTAGGGTTGTCGTGTCTTGCTCAAGGACACTCCAGTGACCACCCATCTGATCTCCGTGTCACCGACACTTGCTTGACATTGCTTGAGTCAAAACTCACTACTCACTTAGCCACTGGAGCCCCCATTTGATAATGATGAAATAATTCGAGGTCTTTGTGTTCCTAAATAAGATGTCACTGTCTCAGTGATGTTTAGTTTAGTTTTAGTAGAGGTTTAATGGTGCTCGCAACTGCATAAGGTCATATGAGCGCCAGAAGATTAGAGGTGTTACAAGAGAGTAACAAACATAAAAAAGAAGGCGAGATAAGGACGTATAGATGTTTCATAGGAAAGAAGAAGCAAACCACACCAGAGCACCCTCCAACCACCCACTCAGTGATGTTCGAGTAAAGAGATAACATCGAAACAAAATAGAGATGGTTTGTTTGTTTTAGTAAGGTTTTATGGTACTCGCAACTTGCATAAGGTCAAATGAGCGCCAAGGGGTGGATGTCCACAGAAAAGTCCAAACGGGGAATCAGGTTTACTCTGCTCACCTTGAGAGATGTTTGAGTAAAGAGGTGCACATTGACACAAAAGAGAAGTTTGAGTAAAGAGATGCACATAGACACAAAATAAAAGTCATTTTGAGCTGGGAAAGAGATAAAAGCAACAACAACAAAAACAAAACAAACAAGGTAGAAAGACAAGAACAAGAGAGAGAAAAAGGACCAAACAGTGGCACCTTCCAACCACCCACTGGATGTCGGAGTGTAAAAATGAAAAGAGTAAAAGACAACGTTTTACCAGCAATGTAAATGTTTATTAACAACCAACAGCATTATAATTTTCTTCTTTATAACAGCAATGACACACTAATTTAAGCAACACTGAGTTACACACCACGGCAAACACCCTCTCGCGGTCTCTCTTTTACTTTTGCGCTGTCTCTCCCTTTTGCTCTGTCTTTTTCTCTCTCTCTCTCTCTCTTGCACTGTCTTTCTTTCTCTCAAATCTCTCTCTCTCGCTTTCTCTCACACACACAGCCATGCATTTACAAACAAAAGCTAGATTACGTGAAGAGTGTATCCAACATAAATAAAGAGGTGAACTTGGGAAAAAATTTCTACATAAATCAAAATTTGGTCTTTCATAAGTCATGTGTACATAAATCATTTGAAATTAAATAAACCGTTCAGTCATGCATACATCAATTGGAATTCAAAACCATTCTCTCACATCTCATTTAATGATCTACCAAACATATACATGTATATATATATATATCAATTTTCTGACAACAATTCCATGGACTGTTTTTTTCCCCTAAAAAATCATTGCCTGTTGCATTTTTGTAATGTATCCTATGTAAGTACATGTACTGCATACGCTTTTTGAATAAGGAGAAGCACATCGACACAAATGATGGTCATTTTTGTGCCGGGAAAAGGTGAGATGGACAAACAGAAACAACTGAAGGAAAGTAGAAAAAAATATACTACCAGTGGCACCCTTCAACCACCCCCACATGTAATACGCCCCAATGGGAACAAGTCACTTTGAAAGCAGACCCCAACCCGGATAATTTCGGGGCATTTTGTTTTGTTTGTCATGTTTTGTTGTGCTGGTCCAGACGCTTGGTTGACAACCCACGTCAAGTTAAGGTCGAAGATTTGTTTTTAAAATAGAGATTTTACGGCACTCGCAACTGCATAAGGTCATATGAGCGCCAGAAGACTAGATGTGTTACAAATTACAAGAGAATAACAAACATAAAAAAGAAAAAGGGGAGATAAGGACGATAGCTCTAGATGTTTGATAGGAAAGAAGAAGCAAACCACACCAGAGCACCCGCCAACAACCCACAAGGTCGAAGAGGGATACAACGTCCCAGCTTAAAGACCAAAAGAACCAATGAAAATTCTCCCCTGCATGGTAGGCCTAATCGAACATCGTTTTTTGTTTTTTTTGGTACGAGCCAGCGAAGCACCCAACCGCTTCACCGTTACCTTCCCCATTGTTTTATGCACCCCGCATAATTTGATCATTTTTTGCATTATTTTTGATAATTTTCCTTTATCATTCTTTGTTAAAATTAACAGAACGCATAATTTTACATTTTTGGGCTCAGTTTTGAATAATTTCAGAATTTTTCTAGCATAAAACGACGGGGACAGCGTAATGCTATGTTGAAAAGCAGTCTTTTGACAGTGCTTCATAAATCCTACCTAAAGAGACTATTATTGCAGTATTTGCTATAGATAGTGGTATGAACGAGGAAAGTGTTCACGGAGAATCTCTAAAACAAAAATAAGACAAGCTTAGGGAAGAGGGGGAAAAAAAAAGATAATTCTGATGCTTGATCAGCCTCACCTAGCACCATTTCAAGTACGCAAACAACTACAAAGATGGAATGAAGGTGCAGCCATAGACATATAATGAGATATATGGCGGAACCCCCAACCTTCTTCCCCCAACTCTGTAGACCTGGGAATGCGTACCCGTACGGCACTTCGACTTCCCTTCCAGGGAACTGACTAGGTAGGGTAGTGAAGCATTGAGTATTAATATTGTAAAAAAAATTGAAGCCTCTCATCAGAACCGGCTAAAACACGCCAAATACACCAGGCAAATTTATGCTTATATAGATATACAGTAGTCTCCGCCTAAGATCCCGCCGCTTACGATCCCGGTTCGTTTAAGATCCCGCTGTTTTAGGAAAACAGAATTTTTACTATACAAAAGTCACCCCTAAGATCCCGCTCTGATGGTCTACATTCGGCTAAGATCCCGCATTTCAGATCATAATTTGCTAAACAAAACCCCGGGCGGGCACAGCCGATCAACCTAGAGTGAAAAGTTGAGATCAATAAACTGTCCGTCGCGTCAAAGATCAACCACTATCGTGAATGTGATCACATACACGTTGTAAAACTCGATGAAGCGATACAATGTTTGCCCCAGACGGGATCACACCGGGGTGTGAACTGACCGACACGTTTGTTTTCCCCACGCATTGCACTCACACCTGAGCTCGCCACCTAAACTTACATCACTCGCTGGGTGGGTAGAGCCTACACGTTCGCTCCAGGCAGGATCACATCGAACTGTGAACTCTTCCTTGACCATTGCAGCAGTTGTCTCTACTCCCGAATTTTCGAGACAGACTGAATTTTAATTGGTGGGTTCACAACGTAATGGTGTGTAACGACAAAGGAAGGGGGGGGGGGGGACTCGGTCAGAGATGGAAAGCTATACATTTTTGACAGGTAAAGAGGAGGGGCAACTGGATAAGCGTAGATCTTGAGACTCATAATAGGATAATAAGTGAAAATGGCACGCCTCATGCCACTATGCACCGTGATAGGTCATCAAGGTTAACCACTCTTTGCTCGCCATACGTCATAAACCTACCAAGCGGTCACGTCAGTTCATTGTAGAGTGGAGGGAGACCATTTTACCGATTGTGAGCCTTAACATGGGTCACCATAGATTCTTCCCTGGGTTCATCGGTTAAGATCCCGGTTCGCCTAAGATCCCGCATTTCCTTGCTCCCAAGCACCGGGATCTTAGGCGGAGACTACTGTATTATGAAAACTACTGCATTCTAGATCAGCGTAGTCCGCCCAAAAATAAATCACTTTTGTTTTCAAAAGCCTTTTAAAAATTGTCTTATCTGCTTTTTCTTAAAGTTGGGATGAGTTTGTCATTTAACTACAAAACATTCTCAGTCGCTCAAAACTGTCAATCAATTAGTAAGCACTTTTCTCCTACTTTATATCATGAAACTAAATGACTAGGCCTTAAGGAGTTTTGCAACATTTCACTGGTTCACTTAGCCACACGTGAACATGGGCCACCGCACGGTGTATTATTGTGAACACTGGTCTATACTTTTCTGTACAACTCATACATTACAATCTAAGTTTTTGGCACTCGCACCACAATTATTGGGGTTTTTTTCAGATCATGTCAATAACGGTTTATAAATTATCCCTCTAGAACCCACTGACCCATATATGGCACACAACTAAACTGACCCTCTAATACAGGTAAAAGTGCGTTTATTGGGGCGAACCCTACCATTTAGTAAAGATTTATAACCAAACCCTGCAATTATCTTGTCTGATTGCCCCAAGTCTGTGAATGGG